GGGTAGAGGTAGCAGCCACCCCCAAGCCCCTGGGGTTTTCTGTGATAGGTCTTGAATGCTAGACTTTTATACATCGCCTTTGTGAGATCAAAGAATAGCTCTTAAATCTCTTGATGAGTGTCTACAGAGAAGGAGTTCCAGAAATGACCCAGAACGAGCACTCTGTGACTCTTAAAATATCTTTTCCATAAGCATCTCTTATTTTAACTTCTTATAAGCTGACTCTTCCTAAGCACAGATTGTCTTTTTCATTTAGAATGATTTTTTCCTCTTTTCTTCTTATAAAAGCAATATACGGTCAATGTAGTAAAATTAAAACACAAGAGAGCAAAGCTAAATAAGTAAGAAACCCCTGGAAACAGTTGTTCCTCAGTGTACGTACAGACGGCTCTAGGACCACAGATGCTCTGGGACATCCAAGGACACTCCAGTCCCTTCTGTACTTGCCTATGACCTGTGCCATCCTCTTGTATGCTTTAAATCATCTCTAGATAACTTAGATATAAATGTTATATAGATCATTGTTACACTGTATTGTTTAGGGAATTTGACAAGGGGAAAACCCTGAGCCTGTTCACTGAAAATGTGATCTTTTTTCCAAATTTTCCTATCTGCAGCTGATTGGCTCCATGAATGAGCAAGCCGTGAATTAGGAGCACCCACTGTATTGCCTTAACTCCCCCAATGCCCTAGCACCTGCAAAACCCTACCTGTGAGAAGAGAAATTGTGTTCTTATTTTGCCTTTCTTTTCTTTTTGGTGGTGCTAAGGATGGGACCCAGGACAGCCATAGGAGGCTTGACAAGTGCTCAACTACTAAGCCACATCCTCTGCAAGGTTCTTTCTCTACCAAGCTTGTTTACACTGGGATGCACATCGATCTTTCCAATTAATGCCAGAGAACTTGACATTCCCAAAACAGTTTAATCAAGTGTACCCTCTTTCAGGGACCCCAGGTCATAGGCAGCAAGCAGTTCCCATGGACATGAGGATCCAGGGTATTTGGACTGCAAGAATTCCTCCATGCTACCAGGGTCACCAATTTTCTTATTCCTGCACACATCCCAACCTCCAAGACATTTCATCATTCCTAACAAAAAATTTTCTATGTTTGTTCTCACCTGGGAACGAATTGTCTTTCAGTTTTCCAAGATTATATAGTAACCTTCTGATGTTTTGTTTCAACCTCCCTCCATCTCTACCTACACCCACTCTCACAAGTACACCCTGTTCTATCTGAAGTAGCACCCTCAGGTGGGAAGCAGCTGACCTGTTTTAGGTTCCCTTTGTCTCCTCACTGACACTTCCCCTTCCTTTGTCTTTGTCTCTAAGGCCTGCCCTATAACCCAGGGGCTGTGGGAGGCGGGTGTCACAGAAGAAACCAGACTACCACAACAGAACACTGGCCTCTACACACCTAGATGCTGAGGTGGTCCTAGCCCAGGTCTCTCTCTACAAGGACTTCTCAGCTTTCTTAGGTTGTTTTCGTTTTTTTCACATGGAGTCTTGCCTTGTAGCTCAGGCTAGCCTTGAACTCGTGCCAATCTTCCTGTTTCAGCTGCTCAAGTGCTAAGATTACAGAGCAAAAAGAACCATAATGATTAAACCTACAGGGTGGAATGAACGAGTGTTCTATACAGCCAAAAAATGGCATGAATACAGACAACAGACCTCAGACATTATGTGAATGCTTATCAGTTTCTATCACTCTACAGTGAGTGGCAGAGTGTGGGCCGTAGCTACTGTATTAGAGAGCATAGGTATGGAACATTTCCACTCTAGTAGAAAGTTCTGTCATCTGGTGCCAGACCGGCCATTTACAAATATGCTGTGTGTAAACATTTGTATAAAACCCTGCCTGCCAAGGTTGGCTTCATGATTACTCTCCAACAAATTGCATGGTTTCCCTAGGACCTAGGCCAAAAGGCCACTCCCACCACCACCATTGGATTTCTATGATGAACACTTGCTTCGTGTCTCAGCATCCATGATGCACAACCTCACTCCATGGAAACATGTATTTTCTGTATCAGTTACTTTTACAGTAATAAAATACCATGACAAAAGCAGTCTAAGGGAAGAGGGTTTGTTTGGGCTCATAGTTCAAGGCCTACTCCATCATCATAGGAAGTCACAGCAGCAGGTGCTTAAGGTGGATGCTCACAGTGCACCACAATCAGGAAGAAGATGAATGCTAGTTTTCAGCTCACTGTCTCCACGTTATGCAGTCTAGACTCCCTGTCCAAGAATGGTCTTACCCACAGTTGAGCTAAGTCTTCCCATATCAATTAACCTAATCAAGATAATCAGTCCCTCAGAGATATTGTCAGGGGCTATCCTCGATCTATATACTCCCTCAGAGACATGCCCAGAAGCTTGTCTCCTAGGTGATTCTAGGTCTTGTCAAGTTGACAACCAATGTTAGCCATCACAGTTTTCAAGTTGCTCGGGAGAGCATGCCGTTATTCATCAAATGAAGTGTGTGCTTCAGGAAGCTCACTCAAGTTTGTGATCTTGGTTCCAAGGGCAATGCAGAATCAGGCTTGGTGACAATCTAATTGTGTATGACTAGCATCTTTGTGCAGACGTGTTCTACAAGATAGGTGTTTTAAAATATCTGTCATTCCTTGTGCATAAATATCTACTATTTGGAGCTCCAAAATGAAAGCCATGTGGAGGAAGGCTATTGCCTAGGCAATGAGACAGGGAAGGGGCCTCAACTGGTACCATGAGCCATCACTGTGGTTGGTGCTTTTCTGCAGTTTTATCAACCTCACAAGATTCACACAAAATTATACTGACATTTCAAGCACATAAATAATTTTTTCCAATCTCTCATGACTGGTACGTGTAGAAACAGAATTCTAATCCAGACAGGTTTGTTCCCATATTCTACAGTCACACCAAGGAGTCCTCAAAGAATTGCCCTTATTATGTTTCTAATGCAGGAAACTTCTCCAGGAAGGAGATGTGGCTGTAAGGAGAGGTGGTGTAGAGAATACTTGAACTAGCCCCTACAGCGTCTCTAACTCTATGACCAAAGACACTCCCAAAGTCACACGATCTTTCATAAGATGACCTTTCACTGGGATGGATTAATCCAGTGTCAGCATTTTCAGTGGTAGAACAGTTGAGTATCCCTAAACTAAGACTCAAAGATGCTCCAAGGGTGCTAGAGAGGCGGCGCAGCAGTTCAGAATGCTCACTGCACTTGCAGAGGATCTGGGTTCAGTTCTCAGCACCCACAGGCTGCTAACAACCATCTGTAACTCCAGTTCCAAGGGATCTGGTGCCCTCTTCTGGCCTCCAAGGGCATTGTACAACATGGCTATACTTCCATACATTTAGGCAAAACAATCATACACAAAAAATAAAAACAAAATTTGTAAAAACAAAGATGCTCCAAGATCTGAATCTTTTTTGCATACCAACATGGTATCATAAATAGAAAATTCTAAACCAGATCTCATGTGACAGGTCTCAGTCAAAATGCCAATGCACTGAACTGTTACTTATGATTACCTTCAGGAGAGTATATAACATACACGAATTTTCTCTTTAAACTTGGGTTTTATCCACAAAATATCTCATATATACAAACAAATATTCCAAAATTGAAAACCAAAACCCAAAATCTAACGTACTTCTAGTCCCAAGCATTCCAATAAGGAATATTCAACATGTACAGCAATTAAATCAGTAGCTTCCATTCATCAAGGCACTTAGCACTTTAACAGAAAGGCACTATGGAAGCTTCTTTTAGCAGTGGGCAGTCAATCCAAAGATTCATAACCGGCCAGAGTGCTGAGAATAAGTGTCTGTTGAGTGCTCAGCCCAAAATGGGATGTTTAAATCAAGACTCCAAGGTTCAAGGACCATCATGGAAGAGGGGACAGAAATAACGTAAGAGCCAGAGGATGGGGAGGAGTGCTGTGAAATGCCATCTTCTGGATATGACATGTGATTGTACACATGAACTCACAGCAGCTGTGGTTACCTGCACAAGACCTGCCCAAAACCAAGCTAGTCAATATTCCAGCATGCATGGGGGGAGGTTCATGAGGCTCCACACCTAGCTGAGAAGCTATTGGCAGTTGATGACTGCTGGGAAAGGGGGAGTCTTTTTCTTCAGGGGTGTGGCCACTGGTAGGTTGTCCAAACTCTGGTGGATGACCCCGCAGTCATACACATCAGGCAACACTATCAGACTCCATGAGCTATACAAAAGAAGAGGACATGAAAGTGGAGGGAGAGGTATTGGGCAGGTACAGGGGGGTGGGATGGAGGAATTTGGGGTGGATACCATCAAGATACATGTATACATGTATGAAACTGATAAAGAATAAGTTAAAATATTCTGAAAGAAAGAAAGGAAAGAAAAAGAGAAAGAAAAAGAAAGAAAGAAAGAAAGAAAGAAAGAAAGGAAAGAAAGAAAGAAAGAAAGAAAGAAAGAAAGAAAGAAAGAAAGAAAGAAAGAAAGACTCTGTATTCCTGCCTTCGTCTTAGTTGCTCCATAAGTTCACTCGAAGACAAAACTTTGCTAACTGAGGACACTGAGTCATGCCACTAAGAAACAAGGAAGCCATGGACTGCATTCTGTCAATTATTGGCAGAGGATTGCCTCTGAGGGGTTAACTCCCTGGCACCATCAGGTACCCTGTACACAGACTTAGCAGGATCCCATAGTGTGGGAAGGAGAGGGCCTAGGAGATGGCTGAGGTGGGAAGTAGTTAGGTAAAGGGGAGCTATAGTTGCAGGTGACTCAGAGGGGACCTAGCAGGTGATGGAGGGGCACCAACACTGACTACATCCCCTCTTACAGGGAAGGTTCTGTGTAAATGAACAGATTCATACAGCTGTCTGTGAAAATATAACCCAAATCGGTCTCAGTGATTAACTGCAAAGTCCCTGCTCTTCCTGTTACCTGAAGCTGCCTTCAACCTCCTCTCACAGTATGCATACCTTCCCTTACCAAGCCTCTTCCCCTCTCTCTGTCCTCAGGAAAATACCATCCACGGGCAAGTTGGTGCTGACCCTTACAACAGACGCATGTGAGGGGAAGGAAAACTTTGTCCGATACCTTGAGCACGTCCAAGCTGTCATCACGGTCAACGCAACCAGGAGAGGAGACCTAAACATCAATATGACCTCCCCCATGGGCACCAAGTCCATATTGCTGAGCCGGCGTCCGAGAGACGACGACTCCAAGGTGGGCTTTGACAAGTGGCCTTTCATGACCACCCACACTTGGGGGGAGGATGCTCGAGGGACCTGGACCCTGGAGCTAGGGTTTGTGGGCAGCGCAGCCCAGAAGGGGGTGCTGAAAGAATGGACCCTGATGCTACATGGCACACAGAGCGCCCCATACATCGATCAGGTGGTGAGGGATTACCAGTCCAAGTTGGCCATGTCCAAGAAACAAGAGCTGGAAGAAGAGCTGGACGAAGCTGTGGAAAGAAGTCTGCAAAGTATCCTGAGGAAGAACTAGGGCCGCAGTTCCACTTCTGCCTCCACTTCCCTCTCCTTCTGTCTCTGCCTCTGTCCTCGCTCCACAGTTCTGGCAGCCACCAGCCACCTGGCAATTCCTGTCGCCCCACACAAGCAATCCCATCTTCTTGACCTGCAGCTTTGCTCATTGCCCGTGATTCTTTTCACTACAATGGAAGTGATCATTTTTATTCTGTAGCCCAAATACAGCGTTCCTACCAACATCTATGTCCTATGTGTGAAGCGACCTTCTTTATTTCTTTCATGTAAGTGGGTTATCGATATACTGCAAGCAAAGCCAGGACAGCTTTGCTCTCCATTCTTTTTTCATATCTGAGAAGAGAAAAGAATACATCTGAAAAGACACACTGGTGATTCAAGAACCGTTGTCTGTGGTCTCAGCTGAGGCACTCTTACACAGCATGGAAAAGAAAACAGGTAGAGGGTGAACACTGACACTCTGGAAGCTCAGGGAAGCTGCGGATCCCTGGGTGGGAGGGTTGGCTTGAATTTAGCAAGACTGATCAGGGACATGGACTGAGGTGGCATGATAAGAAAGATACCATCTGTAGACAACCCTGAGTACTAGACAGGTAAAAGAGATGTTTAAAAAGCAGGTGCACTGGAAATCTACCAACATCCAAATCCTATTTGCTCTACTCAGCCAGGCTGATGTAAAACCCGTGGTTTTTCTTTCACCCGCTGCTGCTCTGGGTTGTGAAATCTGCTGGAGCAGCCCGGATTTCTCTCTTGCATAGAGTTCATCCACACACCCTCAGTTTTCTGGTGTTCTTCACATAGCTATCCAAAAGAAAAAAATATAAGGCAGGACTAGCAGAGCAGATGGTACTTTACTGTTTTTAAAGATAGGAGCATTCCTTTTCCTAAGTGGCAAGGGTGTTTTTGCTTTAGTTTGGTTTTGGTTTGGTTTATTTTGGTTTGGTTTTGACAGTTTTACCCAGACCCACTTGGGCCTTGATTTCCCAAAAATATCACTGGAGAGCAATGTCTTCCTCCCTCAAGTTGTGATTTCATTGATGTGCTGGGAAAATGACCACTGTTGCAGAAGAGGAGGAAGGATGAAGGGAGCACATTGGAAACATGAGTGGCCATATTCACACAGACCTCTGATTGCAAAGAGCCTGTTCCGCTGAGAGGAAGACATGCTACTGCACCCTACTGGAGGTCTGAAGACAGTAAGAGGTGACTGCTTTTAGGAAAGCACACAGTTGCCATCTTGGCAACTCAGAAACCCATGACAATGTCTAACACAAACCCCAAAGGTTATAGCTGTCAACCTCAAGACACAACTTCATTCCCAATCAGTTATTACCAAAGTAACCTGTTGTCACTTGGCATCCTGCCCAAGGACTGGCTTTCCTCCCAATCCCAGGAGCCAATCATTCCCAGGAAGTGATTCCCCATCAGCCACTCCAGGCTCCAGCCCTCTCTTCCCTGGAGCCTGAGCAAAGCCTGGAGTTCCTTTCCCACAGTCAGCAACGTACCAGCCCTAGGTTCCCTTCCCTGAAGGTCACAACTGTAGGAGAGAATTCTGGAACTCTCACTTCATTTCTTTTATCCCCCATAGTGGCATGAATTTCATCTTCTCTGATACCTTGTGGCTTTCCCTGTATCCTGCTTTTAAGTGTAATAATATTTATGATTTTTTAAAAGAAATTTATTACTTGTTGCAAAGGTCTTTTTAAACCAGTTTAGATTTAAAGAAAACAAATGGCAGTCATTGGAAATCCATTTCACATTAATGGTCGAAAATAAACCAAAGGACATTATGTGTGCCTGTATGCACTGGTGCACAGAGAAATATATATACATATGTAGACTATATACATGTGTGTATGTTTGTGTATATATACACTTGTATAAATGTATATACACACATATACCTAAATGTGTGTGTATTCTGTACTTATTGAAGAAACAGACACCCTATACATCTCTGACAGAATATTTGGAGAAAATCAAGATGATTCTGGCTGAATAAAAGGCCAGTAGAGATTCAGGTGAAATGTGTGTCCATCTCTTTCCATTATGACACCTCTGTAATTTCTCAGCTCTCTGTACAAACATTAAAATGTCTTATATAAGCAAAAAAGATATAAAATAGTTGTCCATATTTTCACATTGTGGTATAATTTATGAAATTAGAGAGTAACTTAGCAGCTTCTTAATAGAGATGGCAAGTTTTGATATGCATATACAGTATATAAAATATACATAGTGCTATATATAAATATTTCATCTCTTATTTCATTTTTGGCATCAGTATTAACACAGAACTATGTCTAGCTAGTGCTGTTTTTATGATGCCCTGATCTTAATGCAAGGGAGAGTTATTTATAGTTATTTATTTTAAAAATCGAAAATAAGTGAATAACAATCAGGTTAACATTGTTACTCCTGTAACAAAATTTTTAAAGTAAATTTAACAATATATGTTGTAAATTAGGAGGCTCAACAATAAAACATACCTTCTAGAAATTATGTGGGATGTGCTGTATCTTATATGAAAACATTTCCACCCTTTGTAGGAGCCAAAGAGAGATCTTTAGAACCTGCTTTAGTAAATACATGTGACAGATATGTAATTAACATACAACCCACACAAAATTATGATCAACAGCAGCATTTTTGAGACTCAAATTGTATCTGTTAGAGGGTTCTAAAACTAATTTAGGCAGTTGATACCAGAATTTCTAATAGAAGGGAATAGGGTCAATCATGCATGTTAAGAATAAGTATTATTTTCTGAAGAGTTTGCTCTGTGTGTGTGTGTGTGTGTGTGTGTGTGTGTGTGTGTGTGTGTGTGTGTTTCTGTCTGTCTGTCTGTCTGTCTGCCTATGTGTTCTGGCCCATGATGTAAAACACATGTCTTATTGTGGGACATGTTCAAAATCTTTTAGAAACACCCTTCTAGAATATATAACTAGAATAAGATATACTGTAGTAACAAACAGCCTCAAAATCTCAGTGGTTTGATTCAAAGGTATTTATTTGTAGTTCACACCAGTTCTCAAGAGGATTTGGGTGACTCTCCAAAGCCACAGAACTCCATGCAATGAACAGGGGCCCTGTGTCTGGCAAAATCACTAGGCAGCTCCACATTCTCTCTTCCCTGTTTGGGAGATGCATGCTTTCACCCCCTGCCCTGGCCAGTTCTAGCTAATGAACCTACATGAGCATAAAGCAATTAAGAAATATAGGGTAATTAGTGGGGTGGTAGATGAACATTAGACTCCCTACCACAGATACCTGACATCCTACAAAACAAACTCTTGAGTTCAGATCTACATGGGAATCTCTCCCCGTGGAAGGAACTGTGAGCATTAATCCAAATTAACTGTGCCTTAGCCCCTCATTATTAAACTAGATGTTATTCCAAAATTTCCTTAAAAGTAATTCATTGCAAACAATTTATAATATTCTCTGACACAATACGTAACAAAACCTCAAGAGAGCCAATGACTAAAACCAGATGTGAAAGGAAATAAGGTCCCAAGTTTGGTCTTATAATATTGAAATACTGCATTCTAATACTTGAGTCCAGGGACTGAGGCCCTAAAGATTAAGGTTTGTTTGTTTGTTTGTTTGAAATTCTTATATCATAATTGCTCTATGTTATCATTACCCTCATCATTATAAATTAATGATGGGCCTTCACCAATGCGTGCGTTTATTAGAGTGATTATTTGGAAACCACACAATGCAAAACCTTTAGGACATATAGCCAAATAATTTGTATTTAGAGAAAAAGAGAAATGCTAAATTAGGCAAAGTGTTGATCTCATAGCCAGAGTGTTCGTAGATGTAAAGAGTCTAATTTTGCGAGAAATTTCTAAAATTCAAGACATAAAATTAGAGACAGTGGATATGATGAAGGGTAAAGATTCTAAAATCCCCATGAGCTTGAAATAATGTCAGCACAAAGCATCCCTGGGCCAGTGCAAATTATTTGGCTCTATCCAGTAGTGTGGTTCTCTACCTCCAAAGAAAGAATGAGTCAACAGAAAGGATGGGAAAAGGATGCTAAGCCTATGGGACCTTAAAAAGGGCTGACAAAGGTTGGCAGAGAGAGACCGGTATACAAGAGGATTCCAGTCTCTAAAAAGTACAAGTCATTCTATTGAGAACAGAGACCACCACACTAGATGAGCCACCCCTAAATGCAGTACACTGAGACATCATCACCTGCCAGCGTCCCACCCCATGTCTACCCACAGCCTCTGGCATCTCCTTCAACTTTCCAATACTACTAACTCCAACCTAAGGAATATACAGGCCTAGATCCATAGGAAGAGATCTTTCTATTGATAATTAATCAAGAGTGCTTGAATTTTTCTGCTAGTCTCTCATTCATTTAGTTAAACCCTTTCCTCTATTTAAAAAACTAGTTTGATTTTGTTTCAGATTTGTGAAAATCTGATCTGTAAATTCTCCAAGCCAGCCTGATAACTCCGATTTTCTCTTAAAACCTGGGGATTGGATGAACTTGATGAAAAACGCACTCTGCCCACAGAGGTAAAGCCTTAGTATTATGAAACTCCTAATGCTCAGCCCTGAGTGGACTAGGGCAGGGTGATATGGGTAGGCAATTAGAAATCTCAATCCACAGAGTTCAGAGCCCAGAGCAGTCCAAAGAAATTACCAATTTGCTAGGTCTAATGTCAGCTGTCACTTATTTCTATAGAGGAATCTTCTAATCCACTGGCTTTCCCATCCCAGAATGAACTGTCCCCTCCCAATGCCTCCACAAAATCCTGCACCCAAGAGAGCATTCCACAAACTACTCCAAGGTAGTGACTAAGACTTACCTCCTTTCCTTATGGTCCCATGCCTTCAGACTGTTGACTGGCCACAAATGACAGATAAGTTACCCTGGTCACAGGATGCACACACGCAAGCAAAGAGGCAGCTATGTCTGTTGAGGGCATCAGCACCATGGAACTATAGCCCTGGGAACAAACCTCAGTTCAAAAGCCCTGGTTCTCTTCATAAAGCAACAGTGTGGCTTTTTGTGGCATTTATTTGCTTTTATCCAAATCTGAGAAAATGGAGAAGCATTTGTCCCTGATGACTCCCTTTGTCACTAGTGTGAAAAATGCCATTGGTCACTTCATTCACCAATGTCCCAACCACAAATCTATGACAGAAAATTTTTAGGATAAGCATAGTTTTAGCTTATCCTAAATAGCCTTTCCTGTAAGCTTCAAGTCAAAGAGAAATTTAGATGGAATTTTCCAACGTGAAGGTTAAAGAGGGAAAGTAGAGGTGCAGGATAGAAATATCTTCTGAGAAGTGCTGCTCAGATGTAAGACTTCAAATCTCGGTCTCCAATACTGTAGTGCCCACCTGTAGCTAAGGGAGACAACCCGCTATTGTTCTAAAATGGTGGATAAATTTGTTTTCTCCCCCTATCTAGAAGCCTTTGAGAGGGAACTGACACTGATTCTAACCACTCCAACAGCTATCAAAATACCTGAAAGCAAATCCTGAATCCATCA